TAATCCACGAAGTTGCGTCCGAAGATGAGGGCAAGTCACCTGCTCCAAGAAATTGGTGAGGTGATGGCAAACCGAAAACGAAGCATACCGAGAGTGAGATCCAGGAGCCCATGTACGTGGAGCAGTTCTCGATGTAGTACTGCTTGAGCCAGAGGAGTGATTCCCTCTATGGGCGCCAATCTAGGTTACAATGAACCTTGAACAATCTTCGGCCGCTGCGGCCACGTACGCCGTGCCAAATGGCTGGCTGCTTAGACCGCGCGTGTCCGAAGACTGCCTACTTGTATTCAATACTTCGTCAGGTCTTGGCAAATGACTTTGGCCTGAGCCTACTTTGTCCGCTGTGGACTACTCTGAGACCCGGGCGCAGGGACGAAGACATACCCCCGTTCAACGGGTCCACAGGGGGCACTCTGTGGGCTCACCCTGAGCACCTGAGCGCCCGCTTTCAAGATGTTCATGTCTAGCTTATCCGTATAGTACGCCCCATTCTCCCTCTGCTTACCCATGTCAACTAGAGTATTCACCGGCGAGAAAGGACCACCACAAGAAAACGCTAGAAACTTTGTCGTTAGGCTTGCCAGCGATGGTAGACCAAATGTTACTATTTATTGTTGATTGGTTCTCAACAACTTTCAAAAACATACTGTAAATGGAAAGGTTAGATGGGAAGTCCAGGAATGTTTGTTTGTTCGCTCAAAAAAATATTTTCTCCCTCACTTCTCAAGCCAAGTCACGTCCACTTATCAAATCTCATGCTTCACAATTGTTTCAAAAAAACAACTGTTGCGTTTTCTTCCTGTCGCTGGAGCTTCAGCCTGTATGAGCCTTGCGTTTTCATTGGTAATGTTTTCTTTTCCCAATCCCCACCTGCCCGGTGACGGTTGTTAGGTTTATCAGTTCATCAGAGGTGTCCCGTCCCACCGCATCCTCTTCCTCCTCCTCCGTCTCCGGATCGCAGTGGGGACTGCCGGGCCTGAACCACAAGCGCTGGCTCGCTCGCAGTGGCTTGACCGCGAACGCTAGATTGCAGCGGACATCAACCTGCTTATATGTGGCTTCCTTGGGCCCGATGACGTTGTCAATTTTTGTTTTTTTGTTTCATTGCAAGTCTTTCCAATCTTCTACCTGCGGCTACCCTGCGCCGTGGGATAAAAACAATTGCGTTGTCTTCCCATCACTATCCTCATCCTCATAATCTTCGTCTGCTGCAAGGCCCGCAGTGTTTCTCACAATCTGGGATTTGCTTTTTTTCAATCACTCCCGCAGTCCTACTGCGCTTCCGGGGCACCCTGTTGTCGAGCTGTTCTACTATGAAGTGCGACGCGGATGCTCCCTCCACGCTTCAGGTAGCACCATGAAGGGCGTGGTACCAGGGTGGGGGGGCGCCACGTAACCGCCTGTAACCAAGTATTCATTTACACGTTTTAAAAAAAAATGATGCGTTTCTATTTGTATTTGTATATGCGCGGCTTTAGCGGTGAAACGTTAAAGCGGTTTCAGCTTATATTGTACCTATATGCGTATATAATATATATATATATATGTTTCCCCAAACAGTTTACTGTTAGGGGTTCTCAGTTCTTTCTTAAGATGTGTCCGCCCTTTGTGTCACTGCTGGTGTCCGCCCTTTCCCGCTGGCCATGTAGCATTTCTATTCATTTGTTTCCCAGGTCTGTCACTGCTGGTGTCCGCCCTTTTCGCAGTTTACTGTTTGGTGTCCGCCCTTTTCCGCTGGCCATGTAGCATTTCTATTCATTCGTCTCCCAGGTCTGTCACTGCTGGCTGGTGTCCGCCCTTTTCCGCCGGCCATGTAGCATTTCTACACACTCACTTGTCTCCCAAGTCTGTCACTGTTGGTGTCTGCCCTTTTCCGCTTGCCATGTAGCATTTCTATTCATTTGTCTCCCAGTCTCCCAGGTCTGTCGCTCCTGCTGTCTGCCGGTTTCCGCTGGCCATGTAGCATTTCACTGCTGGTGTCCGCCCTTTCCGCTGGCGATGCAACATGTCTATTCATTTGTCTCCAGGTCTGTCACTCCTGGTGTCCGCCCTTTTCCGCTGGCCATGTAGCATTTCTATTCATTTGTCTCCCTGGTCTGTCACTTCTGGTGTCCGCCCTTTTCCGCCGGCCATGTAGCATTTCTATTGGTGTCCGCCCTTTTCCGCTGGCCATGTAGCATTTCTATTCACTTGTCTCCCAGGTCTGTCACTGTCATTTCTATGCATTTGTCTCCGGTCTGTCGCTGCTGGTGTCCGCCCTTTTCCGCCGGCCATGTAATCCATTTCTCCGGTCTGTCACTGCTGGTGTCCGCCCTTTACCGTTGGCCATGTAGCATGTCTATGCGTTTGTCTCCCAGGTCTGTCGCTGCTGGTGTCCGCTGTCACTGGTGGTGTCCGCCCTTTTCCGCTGGCCATGTAACATTTCTATTCATTTGTCTTCCAGGTCTGTCGCTGCTGGTGTCAGCTTTTTTCTGTTGGCCATGTAGCATGTCAGCGTGTCTATTCATTTGTCTCCCCAGGTCTGTCACTGCTGATGTCCGCCTTTTTTCTGCTGGCGATGCAACATTTCTATTCATTTGTCTCCCAGGTCTGTCACTGGTGGTGTCCGCCCCTGGCCATGTAGCATTTCTGTTCATCTGTCTCCCAGGTCTGTCACTGCTGGCGTCCGCCCTTTTCCGCTGGCCCATCTAGCATCTCTATTCATTTGTCTCCCAGGTCTGTCCCTGCTGATGTCCGCCCTTTTCCATTGGCCATGTACCATTTCTGTTCATTTGTCTCCAAGATGTGTCACTGCTGGTGTCCGCCCTTTTCCGCTGGCGATGCAACATTTCCATTCATTCCCCAAGCGTTGCCGTTGCGTAGGGTTTCTCACTTCTTTCTCAAGATGCGTCGGCCCTTTCTGTCACTGCTGGTGAGTGAGTGAGTGAGTGAGTGAGTGAGTGAGTGAGTGAGTGAGTGAGTGAGTGAGTGAGTGAGACCCAGCAAAGGCACTCTAGCTTCTGGGTCCTTACCAGAACCCGCCAGATTTCTGGAGTGCGCTGGCTCCACGGAGGCAAACCCTTACCCGTCCGAGATGGATGCACATGTCTCGACTTGGCTCCCAGTAAGCTCACTTGTCTTCCACTTGTTTCCCATGGCCTGTCTGGATGCTTTGTATCCCCGGGCTTGGCTGGATGCTGGGCCGATTAATTTTAGCCCTTGTACGGCGTCCCATTGTAAAGTCAATGAAAAACAGAATTTTAATGCTTTCCCTTTGAATCTTGTATGTGCGTCTACATGGTGGACTATAGTTTTCTTCCTCTAGGAAATACTGCTGGCCATATTGTTCGGAGATCTCATTTTTGAACATTGCTCTGTTTGGGGTCTACACTGGTATAATGTTTTCCAGGTTCGGCGCTTGCACTGCTGGCATCCGCCCTTTTGCCCTTTCCAGCATCTCTACGCATTTGTCCCCCAGGTGATTTCTGCACTTCCCCAAACAGGCTACTGTTAGGGGTTCTAAATGCTTTCTAAGAGTGCCCGTGGCTGCCGGACAGCGTGTCCGCCTTCCGTCCGGCTTGTCTCCCTTGGTCTCCCTTCTTGGTTATCGTGTTCCACTTCTTGTTGGTCACTGTGTCCCTTGGTCACTGTGTCCGCCTTGTCTCCCTTCATTCTTTCTTTGTTTCTGGTCTTGTCTCCCTTGTGGGTCATTGTGTCCGTCTTGTCTCCCTTCTTGTTCATCATTGCGTCCGTCTTGTCTCCCTTCTGTTATCTTTTGTCTTGTCTCTTTTTGTCTCCCTCTTGTTGGTCATTGTGCCTGCCTCGTCCCTTCTGCCTCCCTTTGTCTCCGGTCTTGTCTCCCTTCTTGTTTCCCTTTTTGTTTGTCATTGTGTCCGCCTGCCTTCTTGTCTCCCTTCATTGTGTCCGCATGCTTCCCTTTTGCCCCCGGTCTTGTCTCCCTTCTGTTTCCTTTTGTCTTCCTCCTTGTTGGTCATTGTGTCCGCCTTGTCTTCCTTTTGTTTCTTTTTGTCTCTGCACTGTGTCCGTCTTGTCTCCCTTTTGTTTCCTTTTGTCTCCTTTCTTGTTGGTCCTTGTGTCCGCCTTGTCTTTCCCTTTGTCTCCGGTCTTGTCTCCCTTCTTGTTGGTCATTGTGTCAGTCTTGTCTCCCTTCTGTTTCCTTTCTTCTCCCTTCTTGTCTCCCTTCTTGTTGGTCATTGTGTCCGCCTTGTTTCCCTTTGTCTCCCGTCTTGTCTCCCTTCTTGTCTCCCTTGTTGTCCCGAACCCTTCACATTTGTCTCCCAGCTGCTCTGCCCTGCAATATTACATTTGTCTCCCAGAGCTCTGGGCTGCGTGTCCCTTGCAATCCTTTACATTATCATTTGTCTCCCTGTGTCTACATGTGTCTCCCAGCTCTGGACTGTTGTGTCCGTGCAATCCTTCACATTTGTCTCCCAGCTCTGGCTGCTGTGTCCGCCTCTGCCTTGCAATCCTTTGCATTTGTCTCGCAGCGCTGGGCTGCTGTGTCCACCTCTGCCTTAATTTTACATTTGTCTCCCAGCTCTGACTGCTGTGTCCGCCTCTGCCTTGCAATCCTTTACATGTGTCCTCGCAAGCCTTTGCGTGTGTCTCCCAGCTCTAGACTACTGTATCCGCCTCTGCCTTGCAATCTTTATTTGTCACCCAGCTCTGGGCTGCATGTCGCTTGCAATCCTTTACAGTTGTCTCCCTGTGTCTACATTTGTCTCCCAGCTCTGGACTGCTGTGGCCGCCTCTGCCTTGCAATCCTTTGTCTCCCAGCTCTGGACGTCGCAAACTCTAGGCGCAGAGTGTTCCGATATTGAAAAACACAAACTGTTTGGGGTCTACGGTGGTGTCATTATGTATTTATTTATTGCGTTTTATTGATGCGCGGGCGTGTGCATCGACAGTTGCAATGGACACAAGCAGTTGACACGGCGTGAAGATAGCAGCATGAAACCTCCTTGCGCCTGGGTTCCTTGATTTGCCATACTTGCAGTGAGGCACTGCTGGCCGGACAGAAGCAAGCGCCCTGCCACGAAAGCGGAAAAGAACCACCAGGCAGCTTCCCCTTCTAAGGTCAAACATGGTCAAACCACTTGAGCTACGCGCTTTTGCAATGCACATGCCGGACCAGTTCGCGCGCGTTTCTTGCGTCAATTATCTTGCCCAAGTGGATTGCCCGCCGCCGTGTCCAACAGAGGCGTGGTTGCCGCGACGATGACAGCCCAACTGAAGAAGAAGTATCAGGGCCTGAACCTTTGCGAAGTCTTCTTCAATGTCTTTGATGGAAAGATGTTAGACGTTGCGAAGGTTCCACCCTGTACATGCACAGTTTGCAACTCACTTGATGCGACGTAATCTTGAGTGACCCAAGCAAGCATATGGAAAACATGGCCAGCACGGTGGCGCACCTGGGCGTGTTGCCCAGCTGTGTCCGACGGCGCCACGCCGCACTGACTTTGCTGCTGTAGTGGACGGCGGCGGCTGATGGCTTTGACCACTACTACACCTTCATCACGAACTACTTCAAAACCAAACGCGACACATGGCGACACCATGTTCATGGATGAGGGGCGTGGAGGGAGGATGTCAGCGCACATGGCCCAGACTTGGACAGGCGCTGCCCGGAAGAGTGGATGGGAACCTGGAACGAGCCCCCCTGGGCAAAATTCAATGGGGGCTTGGAACCTGTTAGCTAATTTGCCACGGGCGATCATGGAATGGAATCGACGCTATAGCTGCGCAGTCTTCGACTCCTTCTACAAATTCCACGATGGAGAAACTTGAGAGCAAACAGGATTGCGCAACTTTTTGGTGCAGATACGGCGACGATGATCCTATTGCGCGGTGCGCAACGAAAGCTTCGCGAATTGGCCCACGGGACCCTGGATGTTCCCCGAAAGCCTGTTGACTTTGCCATGGAGGAGGCGCGTGAAATCAGAAAACGTTTACCATCTTGGCATCCTGCGCAGCATCAAAGGTTCCACATCTCAGCTCCAGAGTTGCTTCCGCTGAGCACAAGGGGTTCTTGGTTTGGGATGAAAACGATGGCCATATAGCCATGTGGGGAACCCGGTTCTAACACAGTAGAACTAAGGAGTACGCTGGAAAATCTTCTTCAGTTGGATTTGCTTTAAATTTGAGCGAACGCCTGGCATCTGGCCGCAGCATGCCAAAAGTTCAGAGGGCTTCATTTTGGCAACAGTTCTTCGCTGCGCGGAGCTCAGCGAAAGCCCAGTGGGGCTTCATCGATGGCTCCAACACAACGCAATAATCACAGGTACGTCAGTCGAATCGGCAACGTCTTGCAACCCCAAGGAAAACGACGCGGAAACTCCAGCGTTCTTCGACCTGCAGAGCCGAGGTGGCGAAGACTGGATCTATCACGGCAACTTCATGAGTGCCAACGCGGTGAGCTTCGCCCTTTAAAACCGTGAGTGATATGAAAGAACAGATGTCAATGGCTGGCAGAGCTTAGCCTCACAAACTTCTCAAGTCAATCTTTTAGGACGCCTCTAAGGCGCTCAACCGGCAACGTATGGACGCAATTTGGCATGTGAGTTTGGCGTGGAAAGCTCAGTGACCGTTGAAGAGGGCTTCGCTGCGGCCTCACCACTGGCGAGCCTGGAACCGTGATCGCCTGGCGGTCGATGGCGCGGCCTTGACAGCTGTTCAAAAAGATCTTCGGAAGAAGTTGAACCTGGAGGTTCAGTAGATTGAACATCGGCGGCTTTCTGTTTCAGTAGACCAGAAGGTCGCGAGTCGGTGCGTGTTTCTTGACCGGCCGGGTCGTCGATGGCAGCTTTCGCATTGCCGCCTGAAGAGTTCAAGCAGATATGATGGCGCAGGTTCAGGGAGGAGCGTTTGACCACGAGATCAGTTACGGTTGGCATGACGCAGCGAAGCAGTAAGGCAGTAGGGCCTGGGCAGTGGAGTCGGAAAAGGCGCGCCGAAAAACGCACAGGCTGATTTGGAAGGCCTGCTGGAAGACAAGTTAGAGCCAGGTGAACAAGGCGAGAACAGAAACGACCGTGGAATTTCAGAGGCGACAAGAAAATGAGACGGCGATGAAGGACAGCTTCAAGACTGAGAATGTCTACTGTACCGGCAAGGCCTTCTCAACTCCATCAAGGTCAACGCCCTCACGTCAGGCTGTCGCAGAATTTGCTATCATCGTGATGAGCGACCACTCGGAGGCCAACTGAACAACGCGTCGGCCAACACATCAATGAGGATGTGGCCTGAAGAGTCGAAAATTCGGTGCTCGGATTGCACCGCATAAATTTGGGTGGGATGCTAGACATTCTGAGGACTCAACCTTGCATGTACAAGTTGTAAATGGCTTGATTTGACATGGTTCTCAGTGGCCAAAACGAGCATCTTAAAAACATAGCCGGCGCGCAGAAGGTTTGAAGCGGCCGAACTGATTCAGGCCAGATGCTTGTCCACCTGACGAACAGCAGCAGCGTTCCAAGTTGAAACCTGAACAGAACTATGGGACCTCGCTTCCATTGAGCGTTCTTTCTTTCATGCTGCACTTCCTTTGTCACTTCGGTGTTCAAGGCCCTGGGATGTGATCATCGTGGATGAAGGGCACCAAATCAAGAACCCTTCGTGCCAGTTTGGTCGTGCTTTGCGCCGAATCAATGCTCGCTCTCGCATATTGCTTACAGGGCCCAACGCTCAGCAAGTAAGGCAAATCGACTTTTCTGCAATTTCTCGAAAGTGTCACTCAGGACACCCCTCCAGAACAAACTTGGTGATCTTTGGGCGTTGATGGATTTTGTGCCCTTCTAATTTTTAAATTCTAGGCCTTCAAACCTTGGCATTGTTTCAAGTCAGAATTGTTTTTACAAAAGCTGAGGTACAGCCAGGTTTGCTGGGAAACCACGCCACGTTTGACAGGCCGCACTTGGCGCGATTGACTTGTGCCTTGTTGTCACGTTTGGGTTCTGAGGAATTTCTCCGAGCAGATTGCGAAAGGTCTGGGGACTCACCTCGAATGTAGAAATAGATACGGAATGTTGGTGCTTGAACCCACGAACCCGAATGCAAGACACATGCTGATTATTGATATTTCAAACCGCTCAAACCTTTTGCATGACGCTCTCTTGGGTCACCGTTGCTTGCCACTCTTGAATAACATGTTTGTAGGACACTCGTGCGACACTCTTCTAGGACCCTAATGTGGGACACAGTTTTGTGTAACAGTTTTGCTGACTCTTGCCTGAATGATGGTGGACCATGTAGAACCGTTGTGTGATGTTGTTTCTCTGTAGGACCTGTAGGAAACTCTTGGTGATTAGAAGCTGCCTGTTGTGACAGTTGTGCGACACATGTGCGCAACACTTTAGGTGGACCTTCTTGTAGGACACTCTTTGGAGTCTCTTTGGCATTTGGGGAACTGTTTTGTTATATAGTTGGTTGCCACTCTGTTGGATGCTGTCGTGGGCACCTCTATCCAGCAGAAAACAAGTGGTGAGAACCAGCGATTGCAAGCACCTCACAAGCCATGAACAAAAATGCAACGGTTTGACCAGGCCTGACACTCCGAGTTACAAGTCAGCGCGCACCTCGCGCGGCTTTGGCAATGTCGTGGTTTACAAGCCAGAACATGTATGAACATGTCCGATGCAGGCTACCGTTTGTTCTTTGTCCAAAGTTTGTCTTGCTTTATGACGTCCGGATCGTTATGGCGCTGTCGCTGCTCTGTCTTGTCTTCCCAATTGCTTCCCAAGTGTGTCTCCATACTTACCTGACTTACCTGTCTCCCTGTTTGATGTGGGCGTTGCCGCTGCTGTCCTGTCCCAAGTTTCCTGCTTGTTTCCCTTTGGGATCTGCAGATGCCCTCCTGCTTCTGTTCCTCCCTGCTTGTTTTTTTTTCTGCCGCTGCAGTTCTGTCCTTCGAGTTTGTCTCCTAACTTGTGTTTTGCGCAGGAAAGCAACATGCTATCTGGGGTGCGTTCTTTTCTGAATGCGTGTTTTGGCTTCGGGTGTTTGGCCGAGTAGCGATTTTATTAATATTCTCTGACTGGCCTACCTCATATTCCTATTTAGAGCTTGGCACGGAATCCACCAAACCCCCCCGAGCGAACTTTCAAACAAACCCGTCTTCACCCCGTTACGCATTGTTTGAGGAAAACGGATTCTACCGACATGACAGGCTGTAAATACCCCGAGGTTGGAGACCCAGCAAAAGAAAATTAGAATAGTTGGAGAAACCTGTCAATGCAAGTGCTGGATGTACAGTAAACATTGTTCTGGTGATCTGGAAGAGTCACAACATATTTTGATCGCCGCCGATAAAGTCTTGTTCAAACATGTTCGAATTATATGTATCTTTATGTAGATTTTAGAGGTCGGAAGCCTGCAGGTGAAGAGTATTTCTACTTTGGATATGATCTGGTGTTATAGTTGTTTTACACCTTTTTTATGAAGCCGCAATTGGATTATGCGGTACTGTTGGGTGCTCACTTTGCCCTTCCTGTGACCATGCAGCCGCCCCTGGAAGATCTCAAGGATCCGGTTTTGGGGCTCCTCTTCAATATTCCTGATACGGGTGTTTTCGTGCCCCACAAAACCTGGAGCTCTGGAGCCACTGTATGTTTTCTGTATTAAACAACATATTAAATCCATATTGTTGGAGAAGGGTACAAATCATATTCAAAAACCATAAAACACACTGTTTTGTATGGTTTATGTGGTGTTTATATGATTTACACCATTCTCCAACTTTTCAACCCATAAAACTACCAATTTGCCCATACCATTCTAAAAAAATCATAAAACACACTGTGATTTATGTTGTCTTAATGATTTGCACCCTTCTCCAACAATATCGATCTAATATGGCTTTCTAATGGACTCTTTATTGCCTTTTTCAGGCCCTATGAGGTGAGGCGAAGTGTGTTGCCTGGGGGCCTAGGGCCCCACATTTTTCCAAGTATGTTTCCAAGTTCTGTGACAGGTTTGACGGCCCCGACATGAGAGTTTCCAAGTACCTAGAGCCCCTACGTGAGAGTTTCCAGCTTGCCCACGGACAACACATTTTGCTTATTGCAGCCCTGGAGTGCCTGTTTCATAAGCCTATTTACTAAATTTAGTAGTCCCCAAGCTACAAAAATCCATGAAACATATATATATATAGCATAAATTCAAACTTCGCCTTTTTCACGACAATTTTAAAAAGTTTCTTCAACCTGTAAAAACAAAGCAAACAACTATTTCTGGAAATGAGCACTGTGCAGAGTTTATGAAGTCTTAAATGTATATATTCATGGTGTTAAAAATGTTTGATCTTTGTTCCCAGGGTGGGTACAACGAGAGGGGAGGACCAGGTAGGACCCGGCACTTTGCAGGTTCTGTTTGTTTCCCCGTGTAATCTGTGTAATCAAAGGTTTTTCAAATGGGCATAGTGGGGCCATTTGGTGCTACAGTCGTAGGTTTCAGATGCTGTCAGGTTCCAAAAGGAACGCATCACGTTTCGCAGTTGAACTCAAGGATCACTTGGCACGGATCTTAAACTCTTAAACGTGGCTACTGCGACTGCGAATTGATTGCGATTAGGAGGACATTACTCAGGGAGCTTTGTCAAGGAGATTGCTTTCAAAAGATGTGCTGCTTCAAAAGCCACAGTCAAATCGGTGAGAGAAGATGAACATGCATTTGCATGTAAATCGCATAGCCGTGCTGTAGCATCCTCTGAGCTCAACTACCCTTAGAAAAAGGAACCTGTGTACTCACTGAGGCTCGAGAACTGAAAAGGCTAACAGCACCCCATTTTTTGCGACGCTTAAAATGCGAAATTGCTTGGGCCCAAGAACAAATTTAGTCTTTCCAGTGGTTTGCGCCAGAGATCAGGCGGGCTCCAGCAGGCCTGCAATCCCCAGCGAATTGCCGCCAAAGACAGATGTGGTGCTGTCCGGGGCCACTGTTTGTCGGTGTCCAGTTTCAGGTCAGCATTGTGGTGCCTCAGTAGATCAGTAGATGTTGATTTGCTCCAGGTGGCTAAACCTGACCTCAGCACAGATGGAGTTGTATAATTTGTTCCTGACTACCGAGCTCGTGCACATCCCTGAGAAAGCTCGTGATATCTCTCACGGTGCCACCTGCCTGATCGGCTCTAGGATCCAAAACAGTCTTTTCAGGTGTAAGGCTCGTGGAGGCACGAAGTGTGGCATGGAGGCCAGGAACTCACTCATTCCTTGTTGCAAGCTGTGAGTATTTGAGTTCGGAGGCCCTTCGGGCCATTGCTACGTTGAAGAAATTGTGCCTTGAAGGCACTTTTCAGATGACAGATGTGACAGTCTTCTCCATTCTGGCCAGCGGGTCCCACATCACCCCGACACTTCCCCTTTGACGTTATGTCATGTTGCAGGGATATGATTTTGGGAGGGTGGGGTCGAGTGGAGGGGTAATGATGGGTAATGAATGAACTATCGGTAACTATCCTTGTGCGATCCTATCGAGATGATTCAAATCATTGATTTTCTTAGCTGCGTGCATTGAGACGTGCACTTGGCTGTGGCATTCATTTTGTTGATGCGCGCTGCACTCAAGCAGTGTGACTAGCGAGTTGTCATATTGGACACATTGTCACATATCTATGCGTTGGCTGCACTGGTAGTTCTATGGCGTAGAATAATTCTATAGTTCCCTCGCGGAAACGAGCGCACGCAAGCCCTCGACTCGGCTGGAGATATCCCAAGCAAGACGTATGCAATCACATGTTCACAAAAGGTGAGCCCCCTTTTCTGGAATTAATATACTGTCTGTCAAAAGCAGTGGAGCGGCAAGCACAATGTATACTTGTATAGAATAGTACAGTGTGAACTGCCAACATTTGGCTCAAGTCACCCGTAGACATAGCGGAAAAAGGGAGCGCGCTGCCGCCATCTACAAGGGACTAGGATAGTCAATCCATACTTCACGTTGGACTGATTAATATCCACACGCAGGTTATCAGCCGTAGCCGCTCTGAGGTTACGAGCTTGTGAGAGACCACCACTACAATTGTCAATACTGAACCTGCAATGTCGAGTTCTGGAGGAAAGAGCAGTGGACAATTCTCAGGAGGAGCCGCATCACAGTCATCGCCAGGTTCGCTGACCGGTGCGAGCTCAGCTGATGCCACAATAATGACCATGCCAACGGGATCACAAGTGTCAGGTGAAGGCAGAATCGCTCCCCCGGAGATGACATCTGCCGGATCCGGTGTAAGGATGGGCAACGCAAAGAGAGTCATGAAAAGGTTTTCGAGATCTACATCGCCGAGAACAACGACAAGAAGATCACCGAAGAGAGATATTGAGAGAGTTGAGATTGAAGATTCCAAAGACTTTGAAGAAAGAGAAATGCAACTCATGGAGGAACTTCGATCGGCTAGAGTATCGTATCAGTACCTAAATGATGAGTATAGCTGTTTGCACGATGGATATACAAGACTCTATGCTGAATCACAAGAGGAATTCTCGCAATTGACAAAATGAAAAGTGACTATGCACACACACCTGCAGGAAATGATGCAAGAGGATGAAGGAGCAACCATGCGCATTGAATAACTTGAGAAGAAGCTCCGACTTGCTGAATCAGTAGCAGACCACATCTACATGAAGTACGAAGAACTCGCTCATGAGAATCATGAGGAAAATTCTGAATTTGATGAGGTAGGATCCAAGATGGAGGATATGACCAGCGAGATGCAAGGTGCTTTCCGCTACATCCAGGAACGGAACCAAACTTCTGATACCTGCAACAGGCGAGCTCAGAACCTCAGAGAAGACAATCAGGCCATCATGAACGTTGCCAGTGAGCTTCAAATGAGGATGCTACATGATGAGAATAGCAACATGTTGGAGGTAGCTCAGAGGGAGGGAGAGAGAGAGAGAGGTAACAGATGCAGTTGGCCGATGAGGTCACTGAGACTACTGGTCATCAGCATCAAGAAGAGAGAATGGTTGAACACCTTCGCGGACAACTGGCGGCCATCAAAGGATCAGAGACGAACATGATCGCAGAGATGGGTCATCGTGACTTGGAACACAAGACAGAGATACACGGATACAAATTGGAGATCAATGAAAAGGAGATGAGAGCGAAGCATTTTCATTACGAGGCAAGGGTGATGTCTGAAGCAACAAAAACGATAGAAGAAGCTGCAACCGGACTACAGAAACAGTAGAAGGAAGACAACAACAGCTGAAAGAAGCCAACTTTGGCTTTGCCGAGGCCAACAGAGTATTGAAGAGGCAAAATCTCCTGAGAGCCTCCACAACTGACAGTAGAGAAAGGGTTGTACTTGAGGAGAAACTCCAGGGACTTGAGGAGAACCAACGTATTGCTGAAAATAAACTTTTGGAAACGAGATCTGAGAAAGCGAGGATGAAGGCTGAAATGCGTCACGGTCCAACGAGAAGCGATAGCCGAGATGGACGAGGGTTACTAACCTCTCGATCCGACGAGAATCACTCACGCTTGAAAGAAGACATCAAAAATCAAGAAAGTGAGGTACATAGATTGAGAAGAGAGCGTGACGAAGTGCACGATTGGTACACTGAAGCCTTCAACAGCTACGGGGAAGAACTTAAAGAAGCACAAGAGTACGAGAACGTGAATGCGGAGCTCAAGCACAGGTTGTCAGAGACTGCGTCGGCTTCTTCTTCCTCACCGATCTTCACAACCAAAGTTTCAAGGAAAGAAGAATCCAAGGTAAAAGTACCATCATGGCCCAAAGTCAACGACCTGGGACTATGGAAAGCAAACTTGATTCAGGCAATCGTCATCGCTGCAAATGATTCTTACCAACAACCATGAATCGGTTGGGTCAAAGAAGCGGTTGACGACCCTGATCCTGACAAGTTGATGGATTCTGGTGATCCAAGGTTTCACTCTATCGATGCGAAGTTGGGCCTAGCACTGACTAAGGTAGTCTCCGACTCCAAAGAAGAGGGAAACAATGTCGCTATGAAATTGAGGACCCGTATCATATCAACGCAAAGGGAAGAACTTCAACATTGATCAAAGGAAGAGAGATCCTAGCGCTGATACTTCTAACCTTCAAGACGACGTCCAACGTTGAGATACTGTACACTTCTATGCGTTTGTATCAATTTGAATACCAGGGAGATAGGAACTATCATTATTCTGGATGAGATCCTTGCAGGAATGAAGCCATCACAATCCCGACTGATGAGACGCTACGTGACTTGCTACGGAGGAAGATTAGGCATTCCAACCTGATGTCCTACGACATACACATGTGTAACAGCCTCAACGAAGGAAATCCCAAGAAAACGTATCAAACCCTCCACGACATGATTCGAAGACACATTGAAAGGCAAACTGAGGACAAGATGCTCCTCGAGAAGGAGAAAGCTGTGCGGAAACAATTGCAGGTTGTGTAGGCCCTGCAGTGGCTGTTGCGCGCCATGCTCACCTGTGAAGCTTCTGCGACCACAGCGTCCGCGCGAATCGGTCTCGACGCTGGGTCTGCAGGCCTCGTGCTCCCATGCGCGGCCTGGATCTCCTCTGGCAGATCTTCAAACCCGTCTGGCAAGCAAGCCAGTAGAGTAGTTGGATCCTTGTGCCACTTCTTCAACCTGGTGCATGTGCTGCGCCAGGTAGCTTTGAGCTCCTGTAGAAGCACATGAAGGGACCATGCCTGAGTGCCCTTGTCCCCGGACGCTTGGTCCACGCAGCTCACAACCGAAACCATGGCTGCGTATGTTTGCTCTGTGGGCAAACGAAGCTGCAGTCTCCGGTACAACACATCGCACAGATATGTGCACCTCTCTCGGTTGGAGTTGGTCGCTCCCAACCGTTGCCAGTCCTATAAACTCAGAAACTCATCCAAGCGGACATAGTCTTGCTGCTGTCTCCTGCCCTGTTGCTCTGCCATCACTATACAAAGTGTCTCAGTGACGATTCCTCCTTGAGCCCAAAAGCTTTCCAAAAATCCATCAAAACAAACAGTTCCTAACTCGTTGTAACTTCAACTAAGTAGTTGTAACTAAGATATATCTAAGTTATATGTTCTAAGTAACTAACCCTCTAATACTTGTAACTAACGTATAAATACACTAACTAACTTATAAAATACTTTAACTTCTATAAGTATAACTAGAGTTAGCCAACTTAAACCTTAACTTATCGAAGTTAAAACCTAAGTTATCGAATTACAAGTTATCGAAGATATAACTTACCTATAAGTAACATAACTCATTTCCAGTCATCCAGTAAGGTGAAACGGAGAAGGAGGAAGAAGAAGAATCAAGCATCTCCAGGAGAGGATGAAGAGATTGCTCACGAAGACCACGAGGAACCTGATGAAGCAATCGAAGAGGACGATGCAGACGATCGCGATCTTGAAGTTGATGTCGTGGGCGGTTCCAGCAGGATGGTAAGGAGGGGAACACTCAAGGCAGAGGCCAAAACCATTCAGCGCCTCCTCACTCATCGGTACAAGAATCCATATTGTGAATTATGTATTCGAGCCAAGAAGAGACACTTCAAGACCCAGAGGGGAGCATTCAAGAGGAAACTCGAAGCATTTGGAGATCTGGTCACCTTTGGCTTCATTGACACCCAAAGGATCATGGATCAAGGCATACACACCGATAGAGAAATCTTCGTGATCAGAGATCGATATACAGGAATCTTTTGGGCATATCCGTCAATGGAAAAGTACACAGTGGATGTGATCAAATCGGTGAATCACTTCAAAGGATTGCGCAAGATCAAGATTGCGTGCGCAGACAAAGCACTTGAATTTGAAGCGGCAATGAAGGAACTGAAGATCCCATTTGATCACTCATTGCCACATCATCCACAGAACATTGGCAGAAAGGAACAACCAGTTCATCATGACGACCACAACAACATGTTTGTTGGAGGCAGGTCTTCCACCCTGTTTCTGGAATCGAATCATGCTGTGGAGTGTGTGAACCATATATTGAATATTGAATTCGAATGTGGAGAAGATGAGAAGCGCCCATGGTTCAAGCTACATGGAAAAGCATTCCCCGGTGAAAAGATACCATTTGGCGCTAAGGTCTACTTCACGCCAAGCAGTCAAGGAAGAGTGCTCCAGAAACACAAGTTCGAGTCTAAGGGAATCCCAGGAATATTTGCAGGCTATGAAGTGAAACCAGCATTTGACGAGAGACGTCCGATCAGGAAGTTGGGTACGCCTCAGCTCACCGAGACCATCGTATTCATGAACCCGATCGAATTTCCGCTCAAAGAGGAATATGAAAGGATCAACAATATAC